CCTCTGAGAAATTTTTGGGAAAACCAGGTATAGTAATAAATAATTCCTCAAGCAAGTTAGGATAATATAATTGACATTGCTGGATTCCTTGTAAGACCAGGGATATTTTGAATATAAATGTGTATATTTTTTCACAAAAGATAACATAATTATAGAGAACAATTTTATCTAAAATTGTATGTTTATCTAAAATATATGTTGTTTATATTCAAAATGATCAACAAATTGTAAGAATTCCAGCAATGTAAATTATATTCTGGCTGGATAATTTGTAGAATTTTATGAGCTAAAACAAATATCTTCAGTTAATAAAAAAAAATATTCTTGACACTATCTGTCAATCAAAAGTACCCACCTTGCCTTCCCCTTCTTCCAACTTGCGTGGTCAGTCAACCCTCCCCCACCAATCCTCCATTCAGAGTTTTAACATTTAGTATTAAATAATACCTCAGATTAAAGTTAGGATAATATAATTGACATTTTTCAGTTCCTTGTAGACAGGGATATTTTGAATATAAATGTCATATTTTTGGACAAAGATAACATAATTACCTAGAGAACAATTTTTATCTAAAAATTGTATGTTTAATAAAATATATGTTTGTTTATATTCAAAATATCACCAAATTTAAAATTCCAGCAATGTAAATTTATTCTGGCTCAAATAATTTGTATGAATATAATTCACATGTGGTCAGGCAGGGTGGCGGGTGGGGGGTAGTGCAATCTAAAAATAGCTCTCAAAGTCGGACACTCACCGTGCATGATAAAACGTTAAGTGAAAGTTCAGCTTTGGCAAGGCACAGGTATATCGGCGTTAAGTGAAAGCGTTAAGCTGAGTTACTGTATATATATATATTATATATATATATATATATATATATATATATATATATATATATATATATATATATATATATATATATATATATATATCTTGAATAAATCACACGTTTTTCATTGTGGATTTACATGATAATATATATATATATATATAATATATATATATATATATATATATATATATATATATATATATATATATATATATATATATATATATATATATATATATATATATATATATATGTGGGTTTTTCTCAAACTGAGGAAAGAGAAAGCGTACATCTCAGTGAGGGACTTAAGAAACTGGTGAGTGTAAACATCCCATACAATACTTGACCCTGCGAGATATAAAAATTTTCACGTGCTGCTTTCAAAACTCTCTTAATTCCAGAATGTATGTCACAGTTATTGGGTTAAATATGCTGATACAGTATTTGCCTCACTACTTGTTGCTTCTCATGGGTTGAAACTAATTTAGAAGAGTAAGTTTATTATGTAGTAAGTCATAAACCATTATACAATATATTCAATATTTCCCAGCTATCCGAAAGTTGGATCTTCCCTTTGATGTTGTCAACAAGGCTGTGAACTCCTTGGACTTGAAGACTCTGAATGTTGACAGTGTGGAGTTACTGCAACGAATGGTGCCTACTGATGCAGAGGTTAGCATATACTGTAATGTTGCTCAGTGATATTTTAGGGATTTTTTGTGATAAAACTTAAAATGAGAATTGACCAAAGGAGATTAATCTGAAGCCGGATTGTGGATTCTTATTACAGTAAACCCCCATATAATGGACAGTTGGGGTGAAGACCAGTCCGTTAAAGCCAAAAGTCCGTTATCCAGATCCAGAATAATAACGGATTTGGTCTGTTATATGCCAACATAGTCTGTAGTGACCACATGGGTTACAAAAGCTGTACAGTAGTCCAGCTCTTCTTCTCCTACACAGTGGATGAATAGGCAATCATATGGTGCAAACAATACAGTACATATACAGTGTTGAACAAAAATTGTTGATACAGTCAAGGTCCTTAAGGTGGATGGTGTTAAGTCAGCCCGACCCTTATTGGACAAAGTTTACCAGATTCGTGTCTGAATCTTTTCAGATGGATTAACAATATGACGAGGTATGAGAAGATATCCAATTACAATTATTTTAATTATAATCAATACAATTCTACAAACTGTAAAAATATGTAAAGTATACACAAGTAATTGAAAATAGACACTCGGTACAGTATTCTGCATTACAAAAGAAGAAAAAATCTATTTGTTGGGCTGTTTGAGACAATAGCAAACTAAAGTTCTGTCTGAGTAAATCAAAGCAGACATTTTATTTAATATTCAAAAAGAAAACTTCATGTACTGTAGTAATTTGTTATATCGTGCTTGAGACAATTATAAACCAGTCCAGTTTTATTGTGTAAGTGAGTGGAGGGAGGGAGGGAGGGAGGGTAGGTGCATGACTCAGCCTGTGCCACTTGTGCCATGCCAGCCCTGACAGATATTTCACTGGTGTCGAAAATATTACTTTATTTAAGAGGCAGACATATAGTTATAAACATTTTAACTTTATTTGACACCATAACTAAAAAATATATTTAACATCTCTTTCAAAATAAAATAAGAGATATTCACGTTGTTTAGAGGTGCAAAATTGGTGATTCATGGCCCCAGGGGTGCCAAATTATTTAGCAATTTAAGTGCAAAGAAACATTGTCATATCTAAGTTAAATATAAAAATGGAAATTAATAAACAGAAAATATTTATAAATTTTTTCAATATATGGGAGGTTTTCAAAAATGTCTTAAAAGCATTCAAGAATGGGGTAAAATTTTTCAAGATCTTGCAACAAATTTCAAGCAGTGGCCCCACTGGTCGCTGTCTACTCAGCCATCGCCTAACACAAACAAGCACCCAGTAGTTCAACAATCGATCTCCCATACTTCCATTTCTCAATGAGGACTGGGAAAGGATGTCACTGTTTTGTTTAATAAATTCACAAAGCAGTTTATCCAATCAAGTTTTACATTATTTGACATAATGGTGCACATTAACAGTGTGAATACTACAGGGGTAGACCAGAACTGTGGTGACCATCCATGCTGGACAGGCTACAGGCCATCATTGAAAAGCAGGGCTACTGAATGAATAATGCTGGTGACAATGTGTTATGCAAAATTTCTGTAATCTAAAGAATAGAATATTTGAATTTTTATTTTACCTCTTTTAATAGTAAATATTTACAAAAATATTGAGTGCATACAGTTAACCCTCACTTTCTGCGGTTAATGTAACCCGGAGGGTCCCGCGTAAAGTGAGCAGCGTAAAGTGAATAACATAACATATGGGATTAATTGAAATGGAGTCGGGCGATCCCCAAACTCCACTTTTTGACTGACTATGTTGTAGTAAAAATTTATCTTAACTTTATGATGGTATGCACACAGTTAATAATTAAGAGAAATATCAATAATATTAGGTTTTTAACACTTACATTAGTAGATAAAATGGCTGGGCACCGGGGATGGGTGGTTGGTTCCGAGGCAGAGGGCAGATTAGCCCTCACCTGTGTCACTTGTATCAATTGTATCACTATCACAGAGGCTTGCAGGGGCCTCTTTGTCAAACTCCCAAAGTCCATATAAGTCCATATCCTCACCATGATTATCACTATCACTGCTGACTTGGCTGCTGTGGTGGGTGGCGGGTGAAACTGGTAATGTTTTGATGACTGGGCGACCTTGTGCGCACCATATTCACAGCACCACAACATGGCGGATGGCGGGGTTTGGATCCAAAATGGCGCGGCTCGCCAGCGCTCTCCAGCGTAAAGGGTACACGCCCGTGAATGTGAGCATCCTGGGTTCCGCAGAACACGTAGCGTGGAAGCGGAATGTGGGACCGCGTAAGTGAGGGTTAACTGTATAACAATAGCTAAGCAACATTTATGGTTTCCTATCACGGTACAGGTTGTACCTCTAGTCCGGCATTCTGTGGTCGGAACGACTTTAGTTTGTCCAATAGGTAGATAGGCAGCTTTTTTTTTTTTTTTTACTTATCTGAATTATTATTATTATTCATGGTATTAAATTTTTGCCCTCAGGCCCCAATGTGGGTCAGTGACCTATGCCTGGTGGACTAAACCTTAAAAAAAAAAAAAAACCGAAATTGATTTGTTTACATCCGCAGTTCGGCTGCTCTCTCTCTCTGCTTGTCTATACAGAGTACAACATTTAACCCTTCAATTTATATGAGCAGTAAATAAGTGTTGCTTTCATATTCTTATGTAGAGTAATGTGATATGTTTTCATGTCTTTACTTACATCTGTGGTCTCCTTTTTTTTCCATTAATGGTTAGCTACTTATATTGTTCCATTTATTAACATTTGATAACATTACAGGTACCAAACAACCATATTAATTTTTTTCGTTAATTTTACTACAGCTAAAATCAGGGTCTTATTTTCTTCAGTTTTATATGTAGAACCAATCAGTCACTGGTTTTGTAAACTTCTTTATAAACAATGCAGCAGCCGCCTTCGTCTCTCTAATATTCCACGTATTATTAATAAATTGTATTGTTAATTTTGCACACACAAACGTTAATTCAATAAAACAAATTCAGAAACATTAATTAAAATATATATGAACAGTAAATAAATGTTGCTTTCATATTCGTGATGTAAAGTAATAATGATATATGTTTTCACGCAGCGCATACACTTACATATGTCGCATCTCTTTTTTCTTACCATTATCGTAGCTACTTCTATTGTTCCATTTATTAACATTAAATAACATTACTTAAAACAACCATATTAATTTTACTACAGCTACAGCCAAGGTCTTATTTTCTTCAGTTTTATATGTAGAACCAGTCAGTCACTGGTTTTGTAATCAACAAAACAATGCTGTGACATTTCCTCGTGTTTTAATATTCTACGATATTAATGAATTGTATTGCTCATTTTGCACACATAAACATTAATTCAATAAAAAGACATTCAGTAAAACAATAATGAATCTTTTGTACATAAGAGAAATGACGCTGTTTACACGATATGCACGCCGTCTGCATCGCTATGGGGCAGTTCAAACCCATCAAATTCAAGTTCGCACAAAATTTTTATTTATTTATTTTGTGTGTTCCAATAAAATACGTTAAGAATTAAAAACTTACATTAGCTACTATACGACATTTAACCCTTCAATATGTCTTCAAAGAGACCATGATGCAGAGAAAGTGGTGCTAGTGCTTCCAAGCATAAGCACAAGTCATTCATCCAGGAAAAGGGTGAATTTCCATGGTCCGCAATTTCATGGTCTGGCACCGGTCAGTTCTGTTGCCGGACTGGAGAGGTACAACCTCTTCGCAGAAACGGTATACATCGCTAAAATTTTTTCAGTCGCCGAATAGTACTCGGCTAAAACTTTACCCAAAAACCAGCTTACATAATGATATCATTTATTTTAAGCCTTTGTAAGCCATTCTACGCGGGAACGAGTACTACAAATCGTACGCCTGGCAGAGGCGATAGGGTAGAGCTGTGGGATTTCAAGACATTGTTACTAGACTTGTCTGGCCAGCCATTGTCGCCGGATGGGTGTTGTTTGCATCCACATTTGCATTCATTTTTTGTAGCATTTTCCAAGTGTTACACCCCAAATGTCTAGTTCAACGGAAGATAGTGAATATGAACCTTCCTCAGAAGCTTGAATACTTGATAACTCTGCCAGTTCATCAGACAATGACTATTTCGACAAGTGAGGAGGAGGAGGAGGAGGGTGAGGGAGAGCTTGGAGAAGCCTCGAGTTGTCAGAGGAGCGTATGAATACACCACCACCACGTTTTCCTTTCACAGGAATCCTGGAATAAAGATTGATGAAAACCCAGCAGAACTGAGTCCATTTGAATTCTTCAGTCTTTTATTGATAAAAGGATTATTGACTCTGTACTGGTAGAGACTAATCGTTTTGCTGAACAAACTGGGCAAGATGATTCTTTGTGGCTCTGTAACAGAGGCTGAACTTTTGTATTTTTTGCCATGAAAATGCTTTATTGGTGAAAATGCCAGAAGAAGAAATGAACTGGTCACATGATGAACTGCTTGAAAACCAATTTTTCGCAGCTAATGACTATGAAATGGTACAGTAAGATAAAGCAATATCTTCATTTTGTAGATAATGAAACTCATGATGCACAAACTCACCCCAACCCAAAATTGTATAAGATTTATGATGTATTCATGACATTGTGTGAGAACTTTGGGAAGTGTTACACCCCAGGCAAGATGTATGTATAGATGAGAGCCTTATGTTGTTCAAAGGAAGGTTAGGATGGGTACAGTACATTCCATTGAAAATTAAAAATAAAATAGGTTTTCATTTCTCTTTACATTTGGTAATAAAATTTTGAGAAAAATTAAGAAAATATGGTAAAAAATATGGTTTATAGGAAGACGAGGTTGACTCTGTTTTTGGCCGACAAAGGTATTTTCAAAATAAAAAGTTAACCACAAAAATGGGAAGAAAAAATAATTAAAAACTGTTTTCATAACCAGCATCAAAAATACTATATAGAACCAAAATAAAAAAATTAGTCTGAAAAAGAAACGTTTTTAACAAAAAAATTGTTGGGGAAGGGGTTAATAAAA